GACGGTGCGCTTGGAAAGTGTCATTCTCCCCCCCCCCCATTGCACTCGGGGTCCACGGCCGTAAAATTCCTCGTCCCACGAAGAATCTCGGACGTCGTCTTTGGCGGCCAGACCAGTTGTTTTGGCAGCGGTAGTGTGGTCTCGGTCGCCTGGAGCCAGGATTATGTGGCCGGAGGCATCTGGCAGGTGGGTCAGGGGATTCTGCCGTTTCTCAAGGGACTTGAATTCTGGAATGCAAAACTCCGGGGGGTGGGGGTGGGGGTGGGATGTGTTCGGAACAGACGGTGTGATGCCGTATGGATAACGAGTCAAGTACACGAGACAAAAGTGTGTACCTTTTTTGTTTTTATGTGGGCAAAGGTTTCAGGTTTTCTTCGTTTTACAAAACGTTTGTGAATGTAACACATGCTTACCATGAAAGGTGGAAAATACGCACGTCAAGGAATATAGTAAATGTTAACAAAAGCTGAAAAGAGGATTAGACGTTTGACCTGTTTATCGCGCCGGTCACTTGCCTGGGGTTGGGGCTGAGTTGGCGGAGGGTCAAGGGTAACAGAGGAGTCTACAGTGCCCGCCGCGGAAGATGCAACTGCGGGTTAGTTTACATTTGCGGCTGTACCAGGTAAACTTGTGGGCGGATCTTCGAAAAATGCCACCTTAAGACGATCGATGGACACCGTTGTCTGGTGACCATTCTGATCTAAAGTAAAATGCTTAGGAGTTCGTTAGAGGACGCTGAAGGAGGCAGTGTAGGGAGGGTGAAGGAGACGACGCACTGCGACTGTGCGGCTTAAACTGTGAGTGTAGGTAGAAAGTCCACTGTGCATTTGCACATCCCTAGTCTGTTCACAAGGAGGAGTCAGGCGCAGCGAACATATGCGTTGGGAAAGGGAGGATGCGAAGTCTAACGGTAGCATACACGATGGCGAGGGGGCGAAATGTACTCTCCTGACAGCTTAAGCGTTGTGCCGTAGACCACTTCTGTTGGCGCGCATTGCAGGTCAGCTTTGATGCTGCTGCGGAGACCTAGAGTACTAACAGAATGTTTTCGCTCCATTCAGGGTCCGAAGTGCCACAGAGATGACTTAAGCTGTCGATGAAAGCGTTTGACTAGGCCATTCGCCGCAGGATGATATGCTGTCGTGTGGAAGCGGCGGCAGCCTAAGAAGTTGCAGAACGTATCGAATAGTGAAGGTTCGAATGGTGTTCCACGGTCAATTGTGATGGTGGATGGCCATCCGTAGTGCGAGACCCACCGATCTAAGAAGGCCCGAATAACAGTCTCAGCTGTGCAACCTGTTACGGGAATGGTTTCTGGCCATCTGGTGAAGCGGTGGACATATGTAAGAATGTTTACCAATCCGCAAGAGGGAGGTAGAGGTCCCACCTGGTCTAAGTGTACGTGAGCGAATCGCGAATCCGGCACAGGGAATGAGCCGAGAGTACTACTTGTGTATCGATGTCCCTTGTACCGCTGGCACTGAAGACAAGCCCGAGCCCAGTTACGATTACCATTGTTTACGCTTGACCAAACGAAACAATCGGTGACCAGTTTTAAATATGCTCGAATACCGGGATGAGACAGTGAGTAAAGGGTGTCGAGGACTATGCATCTGAAAGTGACGGGCACGATGGGTCTAGGACAACTTGTGGGAGTGTCACAAAGGATAGTTCCGTCCGTAGTTTGGAGAGGAACGGGTTGCACATGCATTGAAGTGGACTGTAGGGTGTGTTAGAGGTCTTCGTCTTGGGCTTGAGCCGATGCCATGGCGGCGAGCTCTACAATAGGAGAGTGAAATGTGAGGTTGTTACGAGAGTGAGCGTCAACTACGGGGTTGGCGACACCTGAGATATGATGTATGCCAGCAGCGAACTGCGTGACATAGTCTAAGTGTCTAGTTTCCCGTGGTGAATATTTGTCAGAAGATGAGTTGAAGGCGAAAATGTTAGGCTTGTGGTCAGTGTATACCATGAAAGCCGGGCACCCTAATGTGTGTCGGAAATGACGAATAGAGCTAAGTAGATGGCAAGCAGTTCTCTACCAAACGTGCAGTAGCGAGATTCCGCTGGTTGCAGACGTTTGGAGAAGGACCCCTAGTGGTTGCCACTGCCCACCAACGTGTGGTTGGAGAACAGCTCCTACCGCAACTCCTGAAGCGTCAGTTGTCAGAGAAATGGGAGCAGACGGTTCGGAGTGAGCGAGGAGGGCTATGTTGGAGATAGCATCCTTGAGCTCGGTGAAAGCTGTGTGTATTGTGTCGGAGAAAGCAACCTTACGTTCGCTTCCTCTGAGAAGGTCAGTCAGAGGCTGCATAAGTTAAGCGTAGCGGGGGATGAATCGTCGGTAGTAGCTGACTATACCACAAAATCGACGTAGGTTCTTAAAGGAAATAGGGGCTGGGAAGTCTTTTATGGATTGGACCTTGTTCGCTAGGGCCTCGATACCAGATGATGAGACTAGGTGGCCTAGGAATTCGACCGAGGACTTGTCAAGTTCGTGCTTAGTCGGATTGATGGTGACACCGTGTTGTGTCGATCGCTGGAAAAGAGAACGAAGATGAGCTAGACACTCTTCGTCGGACGAACTGGCTACTAGAATGACATCGAGATAGGGGTAGTGAAATCTAGGCCACTGGTAACCTCGTGAATGATGCGCTGAAATGTTCATGCAGCATTGCACAATCCGAAGGGCATTCTTAAAAATTCAATCAGTTGGTAGTGACGGCTGTTTTACGGATATATGTTTCCTCGACTGGTATTTGATGATAGGCTCGAACAAGTTCAATCTTGTTGAAGACCGTCTTACTTGGGAAGCATGCAGTGAGGTCCTGCAGAGGTGGAATGGGGTATCTGTCGCAGACCGGAAGTCTGTTTAGGGCCCGGTAGTCACCGCAAGGTCGCCAGTCCCCAGATTTCTTTGGTACCATCTGGAGTGGAGAGGACCAAAGACTATCCGGAGGTCGGATTATTCCACGTTCGAGCATGTGCTCATACTCCACCCTAGCTAGCTTGAGCCTCCCAGGCGAAAGTCGGCGCGGGAGTGATGATACGGCTGGGCCTTTGGTACGGATATGGTGCGTGACATGAGATGCCACGGGGAAAGCTTCGTTCATTGGCTAAACGAGCTTGAGGTACTGAGAGCATAGTTGGGCATAGTCGGAGGAAGTCTGTGGGCAAACGTAGACTGGGGTGATAGCTGCAATGTCGGCGTTGGTGCCAATGACGCCAAGCATCGTAGCTGGGTGGACTTTCCTCTGTTGGTTCGCATCGACCGAGAGGTCGAGGTGTCTGAGGAAGTCTATGCTTATGACAGCAAACGAGACTGCGGCACTAATGAACACCAAGCGAAATGTTCTACGGAGACCTAAGATGAGGGTTAAAGAGCGCTAGCCAGAAGTAGGGATGAGTGGACCGTCGGCGGCACGATGACTGAGAGTAGCCGGCTGAGTAGCCTCACCAGGTGCAGGAGGGACCACGCTTACTTCAGCCACAGTATAAACTAGGAACGCGGTTCCAGATTTGCAGTCCTGAACGTAAAGACCACTGCCGGGTATGGCCAGTGACGTTGCTGGTGTGTGATTTGCAGCTTGCAACTTCCTCTGATTGAGTCGAGGGGAAGGTGAAAGCTTTAGTACATCGCTTCGCCTAAGGGCCAAAGCGGCGGTGATACCAGCATAGTTTACTACGTGGTGGGCTGCTGGGCTTGACCGACTTGCTCTTAGTTAGCGGCGGGTTATCGTGTGCTGAAGCAGGAACGAGAACGCCACGGAATGCCTCTAGTTCGTTAAGTACTATGACAAGCTCAGACGGAGGGGCTGCGTGATACCTGCATGAAGTAGGTGGCTTCTGAGGCGCGTGATGGCTATGCGGTGGATGTGTAACGGGTGGCTTTTCGTAATCTACTTGCTTAGGAGGATGATCTATGATCGTGTCGGCCGGTTGCGCGGCTAGAATGAGAGAAGAGACCTTGACGGATATGACGATAGCTTGAGCTATCTCGGGTAGGTGCTGAAGCCAAAGCTCCAGAAGCATGAAGTCATCCATTGAGTACGAGCCGAGGAGTCTCTACATCTCACTCAATAGGGCAGATGGCCTCGCGTCTCCTAGATGTAAGCCATGGAACAGCTGTTTAATTCGAGTACTCGCTGGTTGTTCCACTCGGGTCAAGATTTGCTGCTTAAGAGGCTCAAAAGAAATATCCATATTTGGGCCAGAAAGTGTCCCTGAGCTATAAAGCGATGTCCCTAGGAAGGCCACCTAGCAAATACCTACATTTAGATTGGTCAAAAATAATATTATGACGCAAAACTCATACTCTAATAAAACAAACCAAAAAGGAGGGTCATCAAATAAGATAGGGAGACAGACAGCCATGCGACACTACTAGATGATTCGAAAATGTTAATATCTGTGTGAGCCATAAAATATCACAAAATAATAATTGCAAAACGGAATTCAAAGCAGAAAAGGCACCAGCGCACCAAAAATGATTTCGGCGATGGCGGAACGGTGCTCGCAGTCGGGGTCACCAATTATAGAGCGGAACTCAGGTACTGGTTGCGACGAGAACCAGTAGGAACAAATACGGATAACGATTATTCAGCAGTGAATACGTATCCAAGCCCAACGTGTATGGTATAGAAATGCAATGAACTAGAGGCAAATTAGCAAGAGAACAGAGCAAGGTAGCGTGCGAGTCACAGTGAGTTCGGAAGTGAACCAGACGTGCCGTCAGTAAAACAAATGGACGATCGGAAGATACAAACAATACTAAAATCCAATATCACAAAATACTGAAAGCGTAAATGTTTCATGTTCACTACGAGGGTCCCACAACAGTCAACCTCTACACTTTTTTGCGAAACAGAGTTATCAGCACATTCGCTTGTGTTTTTGAGTTTATCCACAGTGATTGTATACCGAGTATTATAAATTGACTGGAATAACAATGCGTGGGTTTATGTCCAGTTATATTCATCCAAACTATGTTTCCTATTTAGGTGAACATTCAGCAGAACATTACCAGAGAACCGGATCCGGACGTAGCGGGTAGTAACCTACGTGGTCCAGAACAAAACGGCAGATCTGTGCACTCGCATCGTCTGGCCGCATGTGTTGCACTGAACGGTTCTGCTTCTACATATTCTCCGAATTCCTCTCAGTTTGAATGTATCCGTAATTATTTTCCAAGCCCGAGATGGATATCGACTGGTACGTATATATGCGTGTGGCTTTTGCTTGTTTAATTCACTTTAATCTTTCTCTAAGCGACTGGTATTTTGATAAACAAGGTCGTGACGAGTTCATTACGACTTGATTTGTACAGACCATCACACTGTTACACCTACTCGGGTATACGGACGCCTGTGTGACTTCATCGTATGCTTCTCAAGGCCAAGTACCTCGGCAGAGATATTACAATGATTTGGTGGACCGTCGGTCAGCTTAGTGACTATGATCTCACCCACTTCACAGGTCAGCTGGGTTCAACCTCGCATGAGATAACAATTTGCATACGGAATCCTGGATGGCTCTTGAATAGCCAACTGAACTATAATGTATGTGCATGCTTTCTTTGGTAGTTTTGAGGTGTTAGGCTCCTTGAAGCTGCGGGCGCTCATCGTCAATCACGTTCACGAAGGGGAGCAAGTGCCATATGGTTTCAGAAGTTTGTTAACCCCGATTTAGTTCCCAGAGATGAGGAGCATAAGATTCGAGTCATCACGTATGGGCACATCCATTTGAGTAGTTTCCTTTTATTATGACTACGAACGCTCACACGTCGTCTACGATTATGACTCGCGATGCACCAGATACAGGTCCATCCAAACTCCTCATTGCTGATGTAAACCAGAATGAAACCGACAAAGAAACATGCGGTTGGGAGCAATGATTTATTCAGAGCCGTCCCACACTCCTTTTTCTTGCACATCACAGGTCCAATAATCAGGGTCAAATGAGCAACGGATATATACGGGGCATTTTGGACACCTTTTCACCAGACGGATTCGGGAAGAGTAAAATATAATGGATATTTATATTAAACAATCGTTGAAACTGATAAAGCCTGTGGACGAAGGCAACGTCAGAATCGGCGCCCGTTAGGCAGGAGCTATGGTTGCTTACATTTGTTCACGGACAATAGTTTACTTGATCCAAACAGCCGGATACAACTGTTGACGGTACAAGCTAACGCAAATACCTCAGCGACTTTTCTCGGAGTGTGTGGTGCTTACAGTCGAAAACAGTCACATCGACAGCTAACTTTCCGTGAAAATTAAAAATACCTTCAAATAGTGGAATGATCTGGTTCCAGGAGAAGGAAGTACCGTGTGACATAGTTGAAGAAGGAATATTGGTATGACCCTTCGGTTGTTAGGTTTGCGTAAGACATACGAAAGACATGGCATTTCGTAGCTGAATATTCACTCGCCTAGGTGTATAAAGCAATTTTTGACTTGAATTGATGTTCGGCAGCATGTCGATTGCAACGGCTCTATAAACAAATCAGAGCTAGCAAGCATCAATTATGTTTAAGTCTCATGTAGACATTCGCCTCAAACCGCATTGCTGATCAGTGGGTTTTAAAGATCAAATGTGCAGACGTACTGACGGTTGGCCAGCGATTTGACTTAAATTCCTTGTGTATGTTTGATCTTCCTGCTACATCAGGCCTAGGAAGTCGCCGTACATTTCATGAACCTGACCGAAGACATTTCTCGGTAGAACAAACATATCCCATTACTACTATTAGCGGACACACCTTGTATTCCTGACGAGTATGAAGATTATTGATGCAAATTCACTGCTTCGTCTCAGTAACTCGCAAGCCGTATATTCCAACAACCAAACCGGAAAAGCATCAGCCAGCCGTTTTGCTCGTTTGATGTTTGTCCTTAGGCTCTATCTCGTACAGAACCCAAGACCGCTAGCAACTTGCGCCAAGTCACCAGCAGCCTAGCCACTGTGCAATGAACAACAGTGGCAGACCGCTATAAATTGCATCGTCTATGTAGTAGATGGGTGGGCTTTGAACTGTCTGGTTATGGTATCTTCATCCTGTCGGATGTTTGTTCAGCCTAGCACCCAAATACAGTAAACGTACAAGTGATGCAGTGATTTCTGAGAACTGAGAACTGAGAACTGGTGCGAAGCAGCGAGTAGAGGTTGCTCTGTGTAGCTGCATCATTCGTCGTTTTCGGACATGAACTTTTTATTTATCGTTTCGCTCTCTGTACTTTGCCTCTGCAAATTGTTGGTCTAGTAGCATCTTGAATTTAGACACTGTGTCCGCTTCTACTATATGCTGAGGCAGGTCGTTCCAGACATTCACCACTCTGCGTTCGAAACAGAGTTGATGGGCGACCCGCTTCAAATCCGGGACGATAAGTTTATACCGGTGTCCTCGCGTGCAGCTTGGTGTGCGCAGATGAAGCAACGGTCTCAACATGGGGTAATCACCCAGATGTAATATCCGGTGCGTCATGATGAGGTCAACCCTCAGCCGACGATAAGATAGGGTGTATAACCCTAGTTTCTTACATCGGTCTTCGTATGACATACCTCGTAAGTTGGGAATCAGCCTGGTGGCTACATGCTGCACCCGCTCAAGTTTGTCTACTTCTCCCCGGGTGATGGGACAGTATGCGGGAGAGACGTACTCCAGCATTGGTCGTATTATCGAGACGAAGAGGCGAGTGGCAATCTCTTCGGACCAAGTGCTAAAGCTGCGCCTGAGAGCCCAAAGCATCCGAAGGCTGTTTTGGTACAGCCTATTCGTGTTGTCAATGGACTTTAGGTCACAGCGTGAGAGTACACCGAGGTCGCGCACCAAAGGAGCGGGATGCAACGGTTGACCAGCCACTGTGTACGTTCGGCTGTGATCATACTTACCCAACCTCATGAATTGCGACTTGGCAGGGTTGATCGGAAGGTTAACCTCTGCAGACCATGTTGCGAGGCGGTCGAGATCCTGCTGAAGTAAATCGCAATCATTGAGTGTGTGGATTACTCTCCACACTTTCAAGTCATCTGCGAACAAAGCACAATGTGATTGTAGTAGCTGAGGCACATCGTTTATATGGATTAGAAACAATATTGGGCCGAGTACAGTGCCTTGGGGCACGCCGCTGCTCGATGGATACCAGTCAGTTAGATGGTTGTCCACCTCATCATCATCATCATCATCAACAGCAGTACATCAGCCATTTGAACTGATGCTTCGCTGCCATACAACAATGAGGACCTATGAAATAAAGAATAAGAAGAGGGAGAGAAGGGGACTTACCTGAAAACCCTAATGCCCTAAGCAAACATTCAGGGTCAAGGCGCCTACACCTTGTGTAGACAACATACCGTCACAAACAGCTGGCTATCGTGCAAAGATAAGGCGGCATCGGCGAGACAGCTTCCTTGCGGCTTTCACTGCCACGCGTCATAATCAGCCATTACCCCGCAGGTAACTCAGCACCAAACACACTTTAAACAGACAATCCGATTAGGAGACGGCAGCAGACGCGCCACTGGTGTCGGTTGCGAGCCATGTCCTGTAAAGTCTCGAGCCAAGCACAAGGTGAGTCACGTGGACTCCAACCCGGAAGGCGAGACGGACCAACGGCACCCAGTTTGGTCGTCAGTGACTTCATTTCCCGCTGCCAAGTCAACTTCTGTCCACCTCGAGCCTTGCGCCATCCGACACCTGGTAGACTGAACAAGGCCCCCCTAGGTAAGCGGTGACCAGGCATGCGTAACACGTGCCCGAGCCAACGTAACTTATTCAGTGATATCTGTTGTTCTAGGGAGCTAGCATGGTCATCGCCACCTAGTACTCGCCTACGCACATCATCGTTGCGGACACGCTGGTGCCATCCGACACCAGCAATGCTCCGCAAACAACGATGATCAAAGACTTGAAGGCGCCTCAGATCTTCAGACCGAAGGGGCCAAGTTTCACTACCATAGAGCAGAACGGCCCTCACTGTGGCCTTGTATACACGGCCTTTCAGACGGAGGGAAACTCCCTTCTGTCGCCAAAGATGACGCAGGTTCAAGAAGGCAGCTCTGGCCTTTGCAATGCGTGAGCTCACGTCAGTTTCTATGCGCCCATCATTGCTGATGCAGCTACCAAGGTAAGTGAATTGATCAACCACATCGAGTTCCTCGTTAGCAAGCGTCAAGGGGTCATCAAGTGGCTGGTGGTCCTGCAGCAACACTTTGCACTTTGAAGGTGCGAAGTGCATACCAAATAATGGGACCACTCTGGATAGGCTATTCAGAGTTGATTGTGCCGCCTCAACATTGTCGAAAAGCAAGACGATATCGTCCGCATAATCTAGATCAACTAGCCGTTCACCAGGCAGCACTTCAACACCTACATCGTGAGATTCCGCAAGGGAACACTCCATGATAGAATCCACGACGAAATTGAACAAAAATGGGGAAATCGGGCAACCCTGTCGAACGCCACTTGTAGTCAGAAAGCTATCCGATAGGCCACCATAGACCCTGACGCGGCCTCTAGTGTTCGAGTATAGAGCACGAAGCATGTTCACATATTTCGTGGGAACACCTTTCCGCGCAAGTATTTCGAATAGAATCGATCGATCGACTGAATCGAACGCACTCTTGAAATCGAAGAACACAGCTATTGTCGGTCTGCGGTATGCGTGGCGCTGCTCTAGCACCTGCCGCAAAGTAAATATATGATCTATACAGCCACGTCCTGGTTGTCCACCTGGACTCTCCACTTCCGATCAATAAGGAAATTGCTGATCCATTTGTGCAGCGAACCACCAACACCGCACATCCTCAGTCTGTCAAGGAGCACTGCATGGTTAACCTTGTCAAAAGCCTTACTGAAGTCAATGTAAATGACGTCAACCGATTGGCCTTTGTTCAGCGCTTGTAACCATTCGTGCCTCGTCAACAGTAGGTTGGTGATGCACGAACGACCTTTCAGGAAACCATGCTGTGCGGAGGTTAACAGGTTTTTCGACTCGAGAAGCTGCAGAAGGCTCTTCTTCACGATCTTCTCGAGCGTCTTTGCCAAAACAGCGGTCAGGCAGATCGGCCGGTAGTTATCCACTTTGCTTGGGTTACCACCTTTCGGGATAGGCTTTACGACTGAGCATTTCCAGTCGTCCGGTAGTAGACCAGTGGATAGTGACCTGTTAAACAGTTCAGTTACAGAAGGTGCAATTATGGTCGATAATGACTTGAGGATTAGTGGGTGTATACCATCTGGCCCAGCAGGTTTCGTCCCGTCAAGCTTTGCTAGAATATTGCGTACATCCTCAATATTGCAGTCTAGGCTGTTAAGTTCGGCTGGAGCGGTGCTCGTCGAACTCATTACAGACACCTGGTCACTTGCGAATACGGAGGCGAAGTGCGTTGCCAATGCTGACGCACGATCTGTACTCGAGGTTAGAGGCTGTCCTTCTGAGCCTTCTAACACTGGGATATTAGCTATAGGCCTTAGGCGCCGCTTCACATATGCGAAGATCCTCTTGGGAGCAGTTTTTGCGGCAGTTGCAAGCTCCTCTTCGAAGCTTCTGCGTTTGCTTGTTGTCGCCTTGTTGCAGCGATTTCGTTGTACCTTGTACGCATTGTAGTCCTCATCAGAGCCAGATAACACGAATTTGTTCCATAGTCTACGTCGCCGTCGGGCCATTTGTTGTACTCTTTGTCAAACCAGTGTGGTTTGACTGGCCCAACTTTCCGAAATTTGAGGGGCACAAATCGGTCGCACAACGATTTCACTCCCTCTTTAATGATAGCCCAACAGGTTTCAATAGATGAATCTTGTGGTAAAGACCAGTCTATCTGGCTCGCTGCTCGAATGAGACCATTAAAGTCCGCCTTCCAATAGTTGAAGGTTGCCTCTAGTGGGAGAGGACACGGTAGCGGTAGTTCTAAACTGCCTATGATTACTGAGTGGTCACTCGCTCCTAGAGGTTCTAAGATTTGAATGTTATGTACACGCTGCTCACAGCTAGTCAACAGCAGGTCTAAGCATGATGGAGTTGCGCGCGCTGTAATGCGTGTCGGTTGGTTGATGTGCTATGTGGCCGCGGTTTCAAATAGCGACTCCGTAAACTTCCTCTCGACTTCACAGTGGCCGGGGAGAAGTTTAGCCTCAGGCCACTGTATTCGGGGCAAGTTGAAATCGCCCATGAGTAGGAACATCGGACGACTCATGTGGTTGCGGACATGCGGCAACCAGTCCAAACTGCGGCTCAGTGGGCTGCGATATACCACGCCCACGAGCAACTCGCAGCGTCTGAGGTGTATCGAACACCATAACTGTTCACATAGGCCATCAGCGCTTTGATAGGCGCTCACTAGTCTCCCACACAAGGAAGACTTTATATAAAGTAGAACGCCACCGCGATCATTTGATGGTCTATCGCAGCGGAAGCATGAGTAGCCAGTGATTTCCACTTCTTGGACGGTTACGTCGGAGTTTAACCATGTCTCAGCAAGGCCTAATACGTCCGGTCGCTGAGAGCTTACGAAGTCGTACAGCACATCGCGTTTGTTCATCAAACTGCATACATTAGTAAAGGCTACGCGCAGACCGCGGTAGGACCCGCTGGGCGCGCCTGAAGTATTAGCAACCTGTTGATCCGGATTCGTGGAGGAACCCGGGCAACTACTCGAAAATTTACAATACGGAGGTTTGTTTCTCCATCCTCCGTGCGCCGCTTTAGTTCAATCATGGCAGACTTGAGTTTCTCTCTGTCTGCCGGTTCTAAGTCAGCGCGCACGTGGATCTTCATACCCTTCAGCCTATTAAGGCGAGACAATAGTAACTTGGTACTTGCTTCTTCGGTAAATGTCACCCTCATGGGCCTACTTTTGCCCTCCATTCTCTTTCCTAGACGGGCGATCTGCTGAACTTTGAGCCCGTCCTCATTTACATCGAGTAGTTTGTCAATCAATGATTGCAAATATTCGACGTCATGTGCATAACGCACCTGAGTATTAGAATCCCCTGACTCAGGTGCGTAAAAGACCATGAGGCTACGGCGCCTCAGGTCATTAGATATTGGTCTTGGTTTTTTCGATGTTTGTACTGTCCAATCCTTATCCTCAGTTTGTTTATTGCAAATTGGAATTTGACTGTCAGCTGAACATATAGTAGGTCTTGAGGGAGAGTCTGATGGAACTTTAGTACCTTGTTTCCGCGAAGGATGCGATGAGGTACTAAGCGTTGGCTGCTTCACTGACTGTAGTGAAGCACAAGGCGAGCTGGGCATTTTAGAGCACTTCGTTGTGCTGATCCGCTTGTTAGACGTGTCCGTTTTATTCTGCACAAGATTAGCTTGGCATTGCTTACAAACGGTCTTCAAAAATTCGCTCTGAATGCCCTGAATTATACGAAATTGGTCTACAGTCAGACCAATGCACGAAATATGAAGCCTTGCGCTGCAGAGACTGCATGAAATCGCATTTGCTCTATGTCCGACGATCTTGCAGCAAATTCCACAAGGAGACTGCTTCGTCATTTTAAAAATAACTACGATCGATACGAGCAAATGGGTGTAAGTAAGAGACACAAAAGTTGTGCTGAATTATTACAGATAGTTACGAAGTATAACGCTAAATGACTAGCTAGAATTAATTATGTGAACTAGAGGACGACACTGTTATAACAATAAAATCAACGAGATAAAATTGGCCTAACAGGATAAGGGCACGCTACCACTAAGATCGAAAAATCGCTAGGAGCACAAAAAACGAGACAATTACGGCTAATATATATCTAAATATATCACAGGATAACGCAGAATCAAATATTATATCGAACTATATAACTCACGACAAGATATAACAATATATGACACAATAATAATGAAAAACTGGCCTGAGAGCGGAGCGAACGTATTTTCAAACCGAAGGCTGTGGCCTTGACCTTGATGATCCGAAAGTTCCAAGGATTGAAAAATGATATTTTTATGCAATATATCCACCTACCGTACTCATATACTTATCCCAGTGTTCCACTAATACTTGAAAGGTTTCACTAAAGCAAATTTTGGCAGTGCGTCTGAACCAGTCTAGGACAGAAAGTTTCACTTCGTCATCATTATGGGATTGTTGGTTTTAGAGATCCTTCCAGGGAACAAAACAGGTGGGATCACTTTACGCTAAATTTGGACACAAGAAAGATGTAACGCAAGGATCCGGCAAATACAAGGCTTCTATCTCATAGCAATACCTCAAATCAATGCATAAGTAATGCTTGACTGTGCCATAGAAAAGAGAAAGTTCTTTTTGGACCTATGAATCCCTTACTTTTCGGAAGGCTAAATGACCTTAATTTGTTTTATTTACTGTTTCCAACAAAATATTAAACACGCTTACAACTTCACGACAGGCTATGCAATGACTCACAATAGCAAGCTGTTCAACTCGCTGCACGTTCTCAGGAATAACAGTGGCGGGCTTGGGACCAGCTCAATCGGGATTCTCAGTGAAAGACGCACGAGCCGCTTTGAAACAATGGAAACACTCGTCTTAATGCGACTGGCATGGTTATCATCATATTGTGAACGAGGCTATTGGTGAATCTCAGCTTATATTTGCCCGTCATTTAAGATTTGACCACCGTACGTTGTTCCATGTTCATATTTACTTTGTTTCCTGATATTTTATATAGCAGAATATCAAATAGTGTACGACAGTAGTGCCTCTTTGCACTGACCTGACGCAGGGCCCAATTTCCAGTGACTGCACTAAGTCTACCTTGGGATCAGATTTTGAACGCTCCACATTACACCGTCGATACCTTTTTATATTTCAGTATTCAACGAAGGTAACCTTTCTGCTAACACCTCGGAGTCACAGTGCCTTTTCGAAGACCCAAACCGAATCCAGACGCAACATTTTCACCGGCTCACTCCAGAGGAGCTTGGGCCCCTTAATTGCGAGGATGCAAGTCAAATTTCCACCGAGGCAAGAGCGGACGGGCTACTTAGTGGTCATGATGAGACCGGAAAATGCTGACAGATGTTTCTATTCGCTTTTGTTTGCCCTTATGACCAAAAAATCAAGGATTTTGGCTGAAATTCTGCAGAACAAATGACCAAATGGGAATCAAAAGAACAGATTGCTTATTTTTTACTATAGCACTATGCAAAATGTTTTTCACGTATACGGACATTACGATTGACCATATCGACTGAACCATGTTGTATTTACGACTTGTATATAAAAATGGTTTAGTTGCGGTGTACAACAACTTACATATCAATAGACTCTGAGTACCTTACGATCTGCCCGTACATCATCTGATTACACAGTATGCAGGAATCAGGTCGAGAAAATGTATTGCTGTAAAAATTAATGACGTTAATCGTGCGAACACGGTGGTTGAATAAAGGCACAAATCGAGTTTTCTAAACAATTTTATGCTGTCTATAGGGGATTAATAACGAATAAACAGAGGGTAGTGGCACAATTTTTTAATTCATACACTCAAGGCAACATGTAATGAGATCACCGAACGTCAACTCCTACAGGCAAACCAATAGATGCGTGGGACAAATAGATTCCAACTAGCTATCAAAGAAATGTTATTAATATTTTTCCCCATTGTACTTAAGTTACGGCTGAATATTTACCCTTTCTGGGCACACAAAGCGCATTCTTAACTGGGCTTGGGGGTCGTGATCAGATTTACACACGCGCGAAGAATATTTTATCAAAATTGCATCTCTATCAAGTCCGAAATTGCAAAATGAATTTCTCCGCAGTATATTGACATAAAATAATGATAACAGGTAAGTATTCTAGTTCACTTTGGGCATTCAACGAATTTACTGGGTGGTTGCAATAACGTTTGCATTTCGTCTATAGCAATTCAAATACATGCAACAAATTGTATGGTTCACGATTGCTAATTACCGTCGAGTGTCAAGTTTGTGTCCAACGGACCGGTTGCGTACAAGACAAATCCAAGTCTAGATAAGCTTTATACACTCATGTGGGAACATTTTCAACAGTTTACACTAACGCGGAATGGGCGGAAAAATGATGTGAATTGGCAAGAAAAACAAAGTTCATTTCCAAGCGAGCAAAGGTTCCCACAATTGGTTTATCATCAGTTTTGGATCTACTAACCAGCGAAACAGAAAAGGCAAGGTTGTCACAGTAAGACAAAGTACAGAAAAATACAACTTTAAATTTCTACTGCGTAGAGAAAATGGATGTCGTAGTTGCTAAAACAGTGTGTAAGTGGTGAGAATGGTCTTTTAGAATCTTAGATGAGAAGTTAAAGACATGCGGCAAAATGCATGCTGACCACAAACTCAACATGGGATACTCTGTTTTGTCCAGAGCACCAGGAAATAAATTTTAGTGAACGCCCAAGCAAGGTACAATCCAATAAAGGAGTTCGGGGAAAATAACAAGGGAACAGTACGGCCAATGGGGAAAAATACATGCACTTACTTTAGAGTTGGATTAAACGGTACGGAAAGCATTTTCAACCTAAAAGGAGTAAAAGGATAGCCTTCTGACATTTTGAAAAGTTTCAAGAATATGTATCGACCAGGATAAATTCTAGGACAAAAATATGCCGAGGTATTTTACGGAATATTAAAAAAGATGCCTTGGTCAAGACGAGCGAAGGATGAGGCGTTTGAAAAATAACGTAGTCTGTCCGGGCAGAATGAAGAGAATGTGATATCACAACACCAAAAAACTTAAGGGAGAGGAAGCGGTAAGTTGACTAAGGCAAGAGTGCGTCTAATCCTCGTTGCAATTTCTAAGATTTCCCAATTAATGTAATATTCCCCAGGACGAACTCGTCAGCGTACTTACACCCGATGAGACTGTTTGATGTTGGTAGACACGCAACATAGAGGGGAAACAGAAAGGCGGATAGAATGGCTCCTTATAAGACCCCCAAATTGGCTGTGATTGCGGAAAATCTTCTATCTCATGACTTCGTGAAGTGTGTGCGATTCGTAACGTAGTCACGCATTATATTACCTGGGTATGGGGAACGCAGTTTTCGAACAAAAGGTTTAGTATTAACGATCTACCAATGCTTTCAAAGTCATTAATGTACTCAAGAGAGAGGAGCCGCAGAGTCTTGCATTTTTATCCAAAGCTGATGCGATGAACTGCACAAGCAATAGAACGAGATCCAATGTAGAGCGCTCTGACTTTTATGCAAACTGTTTAATATCATTATTATGCTTGATTATCAACTTTTAGCGAATTAGTAGTTTTTCAAGTACCTTCAACAGCACGGAGGGGCACACGATTGTCCGGTGCTTCTGCGATTACTTCTTAAGCACTGGAGTTATTCTGGCTGCTTTCCAGGTGTGGAGCATAGTGCCGGTCGTTAAACATCGGTTGAAAATCTCCGTCAGAGGTGATTTTAAAGCTTCTGCGCACTCTTTCAGAGAGACTGGAGGTAGTGAATCTGGGCCACTAGCCTTGTTTGGCTTCAGTGTTGTAAATTCCCTATAAACAATGATGTGGTGAAATAAGGTGAGCTTGTCATTAATGTGAGAAAAGGCAGTGGAAACCTGTTGGATGGTAAGTTAACTTATGTGTTGAGTTTGTCCGCATCCACCGTACTGAGTGGGTTAAGGGAATTTTTTCTAATGAGTTGTTTCAAGTGCCTCCACAGCGCACGGCAACTGTGATTGCTTAAAACGACTTCAATGTATAGGCTGCTTAATCTCTTATCTCGACGTTTATAACCACGGACTCACTTCACGAGATGGACATTCGACGCTAGTTAATGGGATATTAAAGTTTCGCAATGTGTTTATTCATAATCTGCCACTAACCTTGAAAACGGAGTTACTCGTGAGTAGAGGGATTTGGTGTGATGTATTTGGTTCATCACAATTTCATTACAGCCCAGCTATACCAACTACCAATCCGCAGTAGTAACAGACAGTGGTTTTGCCTCCTTGAGACTCGTCAGTAGTGTGCATTCCTTCGGTCCCATGCTGCGGACCGAACCTATGATCGTCAGTGGCATGCACCACTAAGCAGCAGCTTATGCTACTGAGTCATGGGGGACGATACCGGACAATCATGCTCAATAGTGTATGATGGGATAAAAAGCGTTGGCTTTACAAGACCCATAGGATGGTAAATGCAAAATAAGTACAAATCATTAGATTCCGACATGGAACTGAAATGCCAATAGTCTAAACCTGGTACATCACACCACAATGTGTTGTTTGTCACTCAGATGAATGTCAAACAATTGTTTGAAAACTGTAATGTTCGGAGCGTTTACCGCATGCGTTGGCAAGTCATTCCATTGTGAACAGATTCTAAGAGAGTAAAAATATTTTCTACAGTCTAATCGGGAAGGTTGGATTATCAGCTTGAAGTTCTGACCTCCCAATCGCTTCTATGAGGCTAGAGTGAGCAGCGATTTGCACGGGTGATCAGTTTCCATTAATATCCGGTATGCGAGAATGAGATCTCCGCGTAGTCGTCGGTATTCGGAGGAAAACATTCCGATTAAACTGAGACGCACTTCAGAATTGAGACCAGATAATCCACGTGTTGCCTTCGTAGCTCTTCGTTGGGGCTGCTCTAAGAGATGAATGTCCCGGTTTAACCATGGGCACCAAGCCTGGACGGCATATTCGACGTGGGGACGGATATAGGAGTTGACAAGCATGGGTACCAACCGTCGTTCAAAGACACCAAAAGCTCGTCTCAAAAGTCTCAGATTCATGTTCGCCACGTTTGCTGCTTTCGAACATTGGAGCGAATTACCCAGACTTTCTTGCACAATGATACCTAAGTCTCTTTCTGTGGTCACGCGCCGTAAAACGTACTGCCCCAAGAGGTACGTGTTGGTAAGATTGCTGCGCAATGACAGTAGGTGACACTTGGCAGGATTCAGGGGAAGGTGGTTTATATCTGCCCATTTGTTGATTCGATCCAAATCATTCTGGAGGAGGGCATAGTCTGATGTTGAGCGAATAACTCTCCAGATTTTTGCGTCATCTGCAAAAATTTGCATCGAGGATTGAATGTTATCCGGGAGGTCTTTAATGTAGACCAGAAAAAGGAGGGGACCAAGGACGGATCCTTGAGGAACACCGCTGGAGATGCAGAGGGTTTTCGAGAGGGCATCGGCGACTGACCTTGATCGTTCTGTCATGCAAATATGCTGCTAGCCAGGTGAGTAGGGAACCATGGATACCGTAGGCACGAAGCTTATCAAGCAGAGCTAAGTGATTGACTCTGTCGAATGCCTTCGAAAAGTCTAGGTAAATCACATCAAGGGGGATCCTTCATCAAGCGCTTTGGTCCATGAATCCCGAGCAAGAAGCCGATTTGTGAGGCAAGATCGTTTGCGCCTAAAGCAGTGTTGGAGGTGCGAAATTAGCTTCAGACTCTCAAAATATCGTGTAATTTCATCTGCAACTAATGATTCCATTACTTTTGATAAAACAGGGAGGAGAGTAATGGGTCGGTAGTTGGCAGGATCCGACCGCTTACCTTCTTTGTATATCGGAGTGACTATCCCGCTTTTCCACTCAGACGGAAGTGTTTGGGAATTGAGTAGACTTTGGAAAAAGCTTGCGAGGTGTGCTGCTATGGTGGGAGCAAGAGTTTTAAGAACTTTGGGTCTGATCTTGTCGACTCCCGGAGCGCTATTTTCCCTTAGAGACCGTAATTTGCTAGCGACAGCTGCTGAGGTAAAAGTGACAGTTGATATGCTGACCACGTTGGGTGAATGCTGGTTTGGCAAAGGTAGTATGGCGTTTGCAGTCACTGTGCCAAACTGAAGAAGTAGTGCGTTCGCAGCATCCACAGCAGTAGTCGTTAGGCCACCACCCGTCTTGAGTGGTGGCATTCCTGTTTTAACTTTCCTTCTGCTGTTCACGTACCTGTACAGCAGTTTTGTATTGTTCGTGTATTTAAGTACCATGTTTTTTTGCCATTCGTACTTATCGGCTCTAATCAGTAATGTGCAATAGTTCCTCACTATTTTGTAATTCTCCCAGGTGGCGTCGCAATTGTTCAGCGCGTATTGTCTCCAGATCTCGTCTCTGGTGCTAATCCATTTACGCGTTCTGCTTCGGATCCAGGTGTTGGTCCGGCGCGGCACTCGTAATGTCATGACTTTAGAGGCTGCTTGCGTGGCACAGCTAATTTTGTCTTTTAGTTCGTTCCACGCGTCGTCTGCCGTGCTCTGCAGATTGAGATCACAGTTGACGGTTGTCGCTAGGCTGTGAAGCACGGAATAGTTGGTTATAGTTCGTCGGTTTTCATGT